AGTCATTCCCTTCAGGTATTTCAAATCATTTTATATAGTAGACAATGGAAGTCCAAACTAGTGAAATCCATCATGAAACATTGTCAATCACCTTCAAACAAAAGTCCTTTCAAATCTCGTTTTCAGAGCCTGAAATGCCCTTCCATCTGGCTGTCTTCTTTCGGGGAACTTTCTTTGTGAATCCCAGATGCAAGGAGGCAGTTTGCGTCACTTTTCCCCAAAGCATAGACCATTTGCACCATATCTTCCAATACATAATTCATAATAAAAATAATTCAATCTACATGCGGAAGCAACTTCAAAACATGGCATTATTGACAGATCCCGAGATTCATTTTTTGATGTCAGTCATGGATAACTGGGTTTTTAAACCGCTCATAATTATCACTAGATGGTATGATTAGCTTGGATATTCGAAAAACAAATTTAAGTAAGTGAACTTAAAAAAATACTTTATTTGTGGTTACATTTACTGAAATATAATTTGTAAAATATCAGTTTTTTACCGAAGCGTAGAAGGGCCAAAGATTATTTGTTCCACCATTATTTCGACTTAAAAGTCGAAATTTCGACTTTTATCTCGTAATTTCGACTTTCATTTCGTAATTTCGTATTTTATCTCGAAATTTCGAGTATTCTTTCAAAATGGTAATAAATATCTACTAGAAATTTCTTCAGTTGTAGTGAAAAACTGAATTTTAGATAAGTTTTGATAATGAAATAAGGATATCAATGATCAGATTGATTTACTATGATGAGAAACTAATATTTTGGCCAAAGTCGACTTTCTTCTACTCGTGCGGAAAGCATTTACTTTTTCGAAAAGGTACTGAATAATATCAATGCATAATTATCAATCTAAAATTTACTCAAATAACATAATTAATTCACTTCTCAGGTGAATGTATAAATCAATTATGGCATAAGGATCTAGGGACCTTGTGTAATTATTTTTTTCATAAAAATTGAACATAATTTCCAAAAATCTTCATCACAGGCTGTCCGGAGATATGTACACTCTGACGAAAAATGTTTGAAAGATGGAATCTTGATGAGGTGATCTGTAACTCCATAAAGGGAAGGCATCGCATACAATATACGTGGTCTCCCTGCTGGAGAACTAGCATTTCTTGTTTTCCGTATTCTATGAATACTCCATTCAAAACATACTTGATCAAGATCACTCTGAAATAAAAACTATAATTAACATTTTGTCGAAATTATGATGGATGGATCTTTGGCTTTCTATGCTTTCGTAGTTTTTCGAAAACCTTCGGATAAAAAATGTAGTGAAATGTTGAAGCATTTCATATAAATGAAAAATTGTTTAACCCGGGAACATTAGTCCGAGGTAGTCATGTTGAATCGTTTTGCATTGAAAAGACGAAGACTCAACTTTATGATCTCCATTATTATACATGCATTTCCTTATGCTTCCGGCTGAAGATTAAAAAACATTCGTATATAAATTTATCCACGAGATCTCACAAGTTGACTATCCGACAGAGAGACCGAAACATCTATCTTATCTGTCAGCAGCCAATAAAGGTAGAATACACCTCCGGGATTTGACAAACCTTGACAATGGCAACGCCATAATAGCAACAAAGAAGGTTTGACCTGCAAAGAGGTGCTTTTACATTTTTGAAGAATGTTTCTCATTGTGGAAAAACACCGTGGGAGGCCCAATACGGAACTTTGATGCGATGTTCCGTATAGCCAGCAAACCTCAGCGAATTAAGCGAATTTGGATTTTTAATTAGAACTAGCCCCCTTACTTGTAGAGATATTCAGGAAAAAATGAAAAATTCGAATTTGCTCTTTACTGTCATTGGAATCTTCAATAGGTTGTAGAAATATGCTGAAAAAGTTTTCTACAGGGTGTTGTGCCACTGAACCATTTTCAACTTTGTAATTTTTTAATACCTACCGACTTTTAACTTGCATCTTTGTTTAATTTTTCAGAACGTTTTTTGAACACTTAAAAATAAACTGCGTATTA